AAAAAAACCACAACAAAAGAGGGGGGAGCGTGAAGATACAGCTCAACGGCACAAGTGCCTTCCTGGCAAGCACAAGGTCCTGAGTTCGATTCCCGGTACCAAAAAAAAAAAAAAAAAAGAGGGATCAGGCAGGGGCCCCAGCACAAAAATATACAGTGGGAGGCAAATCAGTATTTCTTTACTAAATGAGAAATGAGGCCAAGGTGTGGGGGCCTGATCTGCCTCCAGCCAGAACTGTGGGGCTCTGGGAGACTCTGGCCCTGTCTCATCCCTCCAGGTCCTGGGGCTGCTGGTGTGGGCCCTGATTGCTGACACCCCATACCACCTGTACCCGGCCTATGGCTGGGTGATGTTCGTTGCTGTCTTTCTCTGGCTGGTGACAATCATCTTCTTCATCATCTACCTGTTTCAGCTGCACATGAAGTTATACATGGTGCCCTGGCCGTTGGTGGTGAGTATGGTGGTGGGGTGGGGGTTTGGGGTGGCCCCTAGGCTGATCCCCATGGCCTCGGGAAGTGACCTTCCCCTGGGGAAGGGGGTAGTGCTGTTGGGTGGATTCACAAGAGGCCAGATGGAATCTTGAACTTACTTCTCTTTTTACTGGGGGTCAGAATTTGAGTAGGTTGTGTTGGCAGTCAGAATCTGGCTAGACCCCGTAGGCAGCTGGAGGATGGGGCCAGGCCTGCACAGGAAGGCTCCGACACCCCCCTGGGGGCCCTGCAGCCCAGGAGGGGACTCGAGGGGTCTGGGTTTGCCCACGTCAGTCTCCTTGGGGGGCACAGGATTGAGAGGAGGGTAGAAAGTACTCTGGCCAGACACAGAGAAAGCTGCTGGGATTTTTCTCTGACCCGGAAAACCCCTGCAGCTGGGGTCCAGCCTTTCAGTGAGCAGAGAGGCACATGATTGTAAGCCCGGCAAAGCGGGGACTAGGCAGCATTGTTTGCAGTTCAATGACTTTTTAAGCAGAGGAAACGTGAGTCATCCTCAAGACAGAATGGGTTTGTTAGATCTTGACATCACTGCAAGAGCCAGGCAGTGTGTGCGGTGGTGCCCGGGATTTGGGGGGACAGTTTGGAGGTGAGGAGCTGGTGAGGAGCTGACTTCTAGGCTGAGGCTCCAACCCTGTGCCCCATGTCCCCAGAGACTCTAAGAAGGAAGAGTCCTGAGGAGCCTGAGGCCCCCGAATCTCTGAAGCAGGATATGGGCTTCTGCACAGCTGCTGGTGGAAGGAGGCTGCCGTTCTCCAGGCCCCAGTGGTGGGCGCTGTTTCTGTGCTCGGGGCGTTAACAGATGGGGAGGGAGGACTCAATTGCAAGCGCAGAAGTCTGGGAGGGATGGGCCCAGGCAAAACAGGTGAGTGAGGAGGGACAGGAGGGTTTCAGAAAACCCAACCCGCATTGGTCCAGGGGGAGCCGCCTCTACTCAGCTCCACCTGTTGCCTGTGGGACTGTAGGCCCCTTGGTGCCGAGTCTTGTTTTTGTTTTTTCTTCTCTGCAGAGCTGGGGGTGAGGGGATGGAACCCAGGCCCTTGTGCATGCTAGGCAAGTGCTCTACCACTGAGCTGCGCCCCAGCCCGACAAGAATTTTTAATACAAACATTTTATATGGAATTTTTAAATTCTTACATGAAATCTAATTTTAAAATATTGGCAATTTAAAAAAAATCCGTGGACAAACCAAATGTTTGAGGGCTACCAGTCTGAAGAGTTCACTGGCCCCAGGGGACCTGCGTGTGGGAGGGGCCTGGCTGCCGGCCGAGGGCTCCCTCTTGCCAGTCTGCCTCAGCATCCTGCTAGAAGCATCTGGGTCCTCTGACGTCCTGAGCCTGGGATCTTAAGCCTAACATGTAGCCAAAAGGTAGCCACAGATTCCTCCCCCTGGAGGCACAGATGTGAGGCCCCACCCTAGGACTAGCCACTGTGTGAGGGAGGACGCTGGTGCCCGAGCCACGCATGGATAAGGGGCCCGTATTTCTTTTGCTCGTTCAGGCAAAGGGATGGATTGTGGCTGGGAGCAGTGACACATGCCAGTAATCCAAGTGACACAGGAGGCTGAGGCAGGGGGACTGCAAGTTCAAACCCAGTTTGGGCAATTTAGCAGGACTCTCAAGTGTGAGACCCCGGGTTCACTGCAAATAAAAGAAGTAAAAAAAAAATAACATGGTCAGAGATTGGCCAGCTGCCTTGTGAATTTTTACCACTGCCCTGACCTGGTCACTTCAGTGACTTCCGTGATCTCTCACCTGTAGCTGGCTTCATGCTCAGGTGGCCTCTGGCTGCCTCTGTGGGGACTGCTGCCTTGAGCCCCTTCTAATGGGAAGACCCAGCTGCTTCTGTTCCACCACTTGGTTACTAAAGGGTGCCATGGTTCCTGAAATTGTTAGTCACTTTACGTTGCCTTTTCTCCCTGCCTACCAGTTCATGATCTTTAATGTCACTGCCACGGTTCTCTACATCACTGCCTTCATCACGTGCTCTGCAGCAGTGAACCAGACGTCCCTGAAGGGCTCCCGGCAGTATAACCAGCACTCGGCTGCCTCTGTGAGTAGGTCCCTCAGAGCTATGCCAGGGTCCCTGGCTTTGAATTCCTTCTTAGTCTGAGACCAGGCACCAGGGGCCTCCTGAGTGGTCACCAGATGATCTCTCAGGGGGTCTCAGCACGTAGCCTGGCTACTCTCAGCCTTCCTTAATGCCCAATAAAACCTGGGGGAGAGCTGAGTATGTGGCACATGCCTGTAATCCCAGTACTTGGGAGGCCTAAGCAGGAGGATCACTGCGGCCAGCCTGGGCTACATAATGAGTTCAAGGCCAGCCTCAACTACAAAATGAGACCCTGTCTCAAGCAAAACCAAACCAAACAAGCCCAAAACCTGGAGGAGCTTGGGAGTGGTGTGTGTGGCCAATGGAAGTTTGGGTTAACTGCTGAAAATCAGTTGTGCCACACTGATACATGGTCAGATGCCCCCGAGAACAGTGTTACTGCAGACCCTCCCCGCTTTGACAAGTGCATATTGCAAAAAGCTTTGGGTTTAGAGAATGTCTAGGGTTCACACACTCTGTGAAGCCCAAATTTGGGCCCCATATCAAGTGGCTGGTAAAGTGTCCTCAGTCCCCACCATATGGGTCATGCCTCACTCCACAAGGCCCTGTACACCTTCCTCTTCCGCGGAAGGAGCCTCTAGCTCAGAGAGGAACATGCCTGGGGGCATGGTCATGTCCATGGTAGGGCAGCCCTACCATGGGTGGATTTGAAATCAGCGAGCTTAGTCACAGGACAGAAATGTGGAGCTTCTGCATGCAGATGCAGGTGCAAGTGTAGTGGTGTGAACCGGTTCTGGAAAATTCCAGGGTGGCTTTCTTTTTGCAATGTTGGGTCCCAAACCCAGGATCTTGTGCGAGCTGAGAAAGTGCTGTACTCCTAAGCTGCATCCCCAGCTCTGAGTGGCACTTTTTAAAAACGGAGTCCTTGCTAGGTGTCTAACGACTTGGTCCACGGTCATTCCTTTCACTGTCTAGTTTGATATTCTTGGTTGTCCATGGTGCCACCAGACATCCCTTGCCTATGTGGATGTAATTCTCACTCACTTGGATGGAACTGGATATCCACAGCCCTGCTGTGGGTCCAAGCAGCTGTCCAATAAGTATGGTGGGGCTGGGGTGCCAGAACAGCTTATCCTGGTTAATGGAGGGGTGTGCCCTGGGTTTTACTGCGAGGCCCACCTGGCTGGCCTTGTGTCTGCCCAATACTGTGTCCTGCTGTGTCCGTCCTGACCACGTCGGCGCCCTCTCTCCCAGTTCTTCGCCTGTCTGGTGATGATCGCCTACGGAGTGAGCACGTTCTTCAGCTTCCAGGCCTGGCGAGGAGTGGGGAGCAACGCCGCCACCAGTCAGATGGCTGGGGGCTACGCCTAGAGCACCCATGTCGTGGCCCACCCTGGGGCCGAAGCTGCCGCGGGGTCACTGTGCAGGGGCCCTCGAGCCCGAGGCGGAGCCCTGCATAGAGTCAGCCCGGTGGGGCTGCACCTGCTCCCCTCCCTGCTCTCCCAGGTTGACCAAGGACACAGGCCTAAAGTGGCAGTGGTGGCTGGCAAGGGCCAACAGCTGCAGCCTCTTCCCCAGCCCGCTTCTTCAGCTTCTGCAGCAGAAGGTGATGGGGGATGTGATGCCTCCGAGGACTTCAGCAGCCACGGCTGTGCCCACCCTTCTCACCAGCACTAAACACACTAATGAGGACTCAGACCTGCAGCCCTGACTCACCCTAGTATGAGCCTAACAAGCCACTCTGACTTACCTCAGTCTTTGTTCCAGGAGAGCTGAGCGAGCGCACAAACCGTCCCTTCTGACCCTCCCCTCCCCACAGCCAACCTGTCACCTGTAGGGAGACGTTTCTAGGAAGATAGGGTTTCAGACATCCTGGCTATTTAACAAATCGGTTTTAAGCACCTTCTCGCTGACGTCAAACCTCTCTGGGTTCCCCTCCCTCAGCCAGTTCCTGACTTGTAATTTTCCCTTTGGGAAAAGCCAACATCATGGTGATCGCTTCCCTCTTGCTGTTGATTAGTCACATGGGACATGGAGGGAGGGAAGCAGCACTTTGCCTGGCGAGCTGTTGGTTGGTCATGACTTTGTTGTATTTTTTTTTACAAAAATAAAGATGGAAGAACTCATTTGGAAAAGATGTGGGGAATCATGGTTGCTGAACTGTGTGAACTCGAGGAAGCTGCAGGATAAGAGCATGCAAAGAATGCCCATCGCAGGGCGGCTCATGACGTGGGGTTACCCAGTGCCACCAGCCAGCTCTGTCCTGAGGGAGGCCACCCACACTTCCCGCCTGCTTTGCTGGAATGGTCCTGGGCTATGTGCTTATCCTGGCATAAGTTCAAAAGCACCACCTTTTATTCCTAAGTGTCCCAGGGCTGGGGATGTAGCTCAGTGGCACAACGCCTGCTTCGCATTCATGATGCCCTGGATTCCGTCCCCAGCACTGCAGTTTAAACAACAAAAAAGGTGTTCCAGGGTTAACAGTATTTAGTTTACCCCTGCTTTACTAGGCAAGTTAGGTGATCTTATAGGTACAGGATTTCAATAATGTCACCTACCTCAAAAATTTGTGAAGCTCAAAGACAACACAAGCAAGGTAGCTGCCACAATAGATTTTCAGAGCTGGTAGACACCAGAGCTCTCCTAACTGTTTTTCTAACACCACAGGGAAATACCCTCTGGACAGTAAGCCAAAGGCATTCCTAGGTACCCTGTGATCCTTTTTTGGGGAACGGGGGGACAGAGTCTTGCTGTTTAGGCTAGCCTCAAACTCACTGCAATCCTCCTGCCTCAGCCTCCTGGGTGCTGAGATTACAGGCTTGCACCATTATGCGCAGCTTTGTGCTCCTTTTTTTAACTGGCCACAACAGAGTCAGTCAGCAGTGGATGAGGGGTGGGGCTCACGCTCGTTTATGCTTGGTGTCCTGGTATAATTTTTTTTTCCGGTACCGGGAATTGAACTCATGACCTCGCACTTGCCAGGCAGGCATTGTGCTGCTAAGCTAAATCCCCATCCCCTCCTGGTATAATATTAATGGCATCTCTTTACTCTGAAGTGTTGGGGTTTGAATAATAAAGTTTAGTCATTTCAGGATTATGCTGGAAAAAGGTTTGGTTTTAAGGAAGAGCAACCCAGTTTGAGGCTTAAGAGAAAGCAAAATCCTGGACAAGCTAGAGCCCACCTGGGTTTCTGACACCTACCATGGCTTACTTCAGGGCAGACAGTACAGACTGCAGCTCGGAACTCTTGCTTCCCAGGGGTGGAGGGGTCCTGAGCCACAGGAGAGTGCAGCAGCCTCCTAGGTTGGGCCTTAATGTCACTCTTCCCCCAGGCCGTCCCTGAGTCCCATCAGAAGTGCATGATATCCCAGTATTAGTCAACAGGCAACAAAGAGATGAATTTCTAGCTTAATAGAAATTTGTATGTGTAATCCTAGCTATTCAGGAGGCTGAGGTAGTGGGGTGGCAGGTTAGAGGGCAGCCTGGGCAACCTGGTAAGACCCTGTCTCAGAAATAAAATTTTAAAAGGGTGGGGATGTAGCTCAGTGCTAGAGTGCTTGCCTACCATGCACAGGGCCAATTCCCAGTGCTGGGAAGAAAGAAAGAAAAATCAGCAAGGCTACTTAGAATATTAAACTATACAACAGGCTTTTTCTTCTCTTTTGTTTTTTAAGACGTGGTCTTGCTATGTAGTTCAGGCTGGCCTCAGTGAACTCACTATGTAGCCCAGGCTGGGTTTGATCTTGTGGCAGACCTCCTGCCTCAGCTTCCCAAATGCTGAGATTACAGGCTGTTTTTCTGTAAAGAAAAGGTGAAAAGGATAGTTTGCCTTTCTTCTTGGGCTTTCTCCATTATTTCATCTCTGGACTTCTGGCTTGCCTTTTCTCAACCATGTAGGCTGACCAACAGCTCTTACCACCTACTTCCAAAGTGTTGGCCATGATGGGCAGTTCTACTGACAAAGGAGCAGGAAGGGTGGCCAGTGCAGGAGAGGGGCATGGACAAGGCTGCCTGTGAGAGTGCCTTGAGTTCGGAGGGACCAAAGCAGTAATAGCTGTGATGGTAGCTACATTTAGGAGTAGGGATGACTCAATTAGAGTGATGGTTCTTGCAAAGACCTCAAATTTTACTCATGGTACAAAAGTAAGCAACGCAATAGTACAGAAGAACACATCGCTTATAGCTTACACTTTAAGAAAAGCGTGAAAAGAAGTACAGATTCTCATTTCCACTATAAAAAAATGAAATCAAAAGTAGACATTAGGAAGTGAACTTTCTTTTCTTTTTTTAGAGATACGACTTATTCCCAGGTTGGTAATGGTCTACTAAACATTGTGTTAAATGAGAGCTGACAGCTGACCAGTACCGTCCACTGGCCCCACACATGCCGAGCCAGACGGGAGCACCATGTTGGCAGGAGAGGTTTGGACAGGAAGAAGAAACTGTAGAGTCTCTACCTACCCCAGTAGAAAGCCAACAGAGTGGCTTATACCGGAAGGATGTGAGCAGGCATGCAGAAACACACTTCACGTGCTTCGACAGGAGGACAGTACTAGTTTACTATGACAGCAGGATAGCTTTAGTCTATTTGCAGCACACGCATCCACATCAGTGTAGGAAGCATTTTTGCCTTCACAGCACTGACAACTACATAGCACACAGCATATAATACTTTGATCTTTAAGTGGGTAATCATGGAAGTTCCAAGATCATATCCACTAGGTTAGCCTGAGTATTCATCTATAAAAATATTTTCTTGAAAATAATGTTTAAAAAGAGACTTCTAGAAACAGGGAGGCTGTATCAGGACCAGCAGAAGATGGTGTTACAAGGCCTGAAGACGGGAGACAGGGCATGGACTTTCAATGGAGCCTTCAGGTAAAGGACATCTCTGTCGCTTCCTCCAGCCAGGACAGGGGTCATAGATCCTGAGATCTCAGGCTGGGTGGCTGGCTCAGGTGAGTGACTCCTGCATTGATACCCCTAACAAGAACCGCATTGAAGCAGAAGGACTGAAACTCTCACCTATGTATAAAAAGAGTGATGAATACACAAAGGACTCATGCAAAGCCTGCAGGGAAGAGGGTTGGTGACAGTGGGCTCCTCACTGCTGACAGCCACATCGGCGTGCATGGCGGAGAGGCTGGGGCTGGAGCCCGACTCAGAAGCCCCCGAGGGAGGTGTCCACAGGGCAGCAGCACTGGGTTACTGAATACAGGAAGGTGTTTCAGGAAAAACAGGGCTAGGAGGGTCAGGTCATGTTTCTGACCCCTCAATACTTATCATGAATGAAGGGCTGCAGAACAGTTAAGTCTTTCCAAGAGGTACTCTTCTGTTGTTGTCATCAGCCAAAGTCTCCGAGACTATTTTGCTAGTGACATCCAGAATGATCCATTTGTTACCTAGTGCCGCAGATTGTTCTGGGAAGCTGGCATAGTTGAGGATTTGCATAACGATGTCACCACTAAGCCACTGCTTAAATCCAGTCCCCGGCCTTCCTTTTCCTACATAAAAAAAGAAACAACTTCAAGAGGCAAGGACCAGCCAGGCATGGTAGCGCATCCCTGTAATCCCAGCACACAGGAAGCTGAGGCTGGAGGATTGCTGTGTGTTCAAGACCAGCCTGGGCTACAAAGTGAGCTCAAGGCCAGCCTAAACTGCACAGCGGGACCCTGTGCAGCGGGTCTCAAAACGACCAAAAAAAAGAGAGGCAAGAACCAGAAAGAGGTCTTTCTGGTTCAGAACCCTGCCTCTGGTGTGGGGAAGGGGCAGCTCCTGGTTCAGGGTGGAGAGGGCCACCAGGAAGCAGACAGGACGGGAAGGTAGCTTATTTTGCATTTCTGCACAACACTTATTTCTTATAAAGAGCCATGAGACAGACTCACATCAGCTCTTGGGGGGTTTGTCTTGATTATTTAGGGACCTGAAGGGTGGCACCTGGGCCTGTTTCACCAAAGCATGAAAAAGCCCCTGCATGAGTGGATCGACAACCCCACCCCACCTCCATGGCTGCTGGAGGGACACTGGCCAGTAAGAGGGGCCAAGGAGGAAGCATGGGAGGTGGCTGTATTCACTCGGAATTTCTCAGCGGTTCTGAGTGGCTAGATAAATGAGCACTTGTAACTTACTGCTCTGTAGTCCAGAAACATTTCTTTGAAAGCCAGAAAATCTGTAAATGTGAGCAGCATGTCGAAGATGTCACCAGCCACTTCATCTTTATGGTGCCTGTAAAGGAAAGGGTGGTAGCTACAGAACACGGGATAAGACAGTCGCTCTCTGTGAGATTTCAACACAGGTGATAAGGGCCTCCCATCCGGACCTAACACCAAGTCTCTCACTGCAAGATAAGGGAGGGTGTTTGTTCCTCAGTCTCGGGAAGCAGGGAGGTGAGAAACAAGACAGCTGAGCTGGACTCACTGTAACGTTGTCGTGAAGGCTGCCATGCTGAACCCTGGGATCCGCTCCAGCAGCTGCTCCTCGATGTACTTTTCCACTAGGGAAATCTGGAAGTGGGAAGGATCGTGGCAGAAAGCTTGTGTTAGGGAAACAGGACTCGTTTTTAGAAAACCCATCCTCTAGCCCTTGGCAGGCATCTCTGAAGTCCAATTTTATGTACAAGCTCTGTGCTGAGCACTGGGTATGCGAGAGGGGACCACGACCCAGGTCCTGTCCTGGCTAAGTCTTGGGCCTGCCTGGTGCCCAGAGGGGCATTTGCAGGTAACTGTGCTATCACAGGATGACCACTCTAGCCTGCACGGAGGCAGAGAGCATCAGGCTGCCCATCTCCAGCCCAGGTCAGGAAGGTGATGAGGGAGGGTCTTCCTCTTGCACAGACAGGATCTGTGAGCAGCACACTTGGCAGTAGCCATGGCTCCTCCTGAGCTGACTTCCTCCATGGTACCTGCTTCTATGTTTAGAAAGAAAGTCCTAGAGATGCACAACTCTTCTTACAGAGGTAAGGTGACCCCAGGAGGCTGCAAAAGACCTCAGGGTAGGGTGAACAGCTGAGGTTCCTGGGCTCCAGTCTTGTTTTTTCCACTACTACGTGAATGATCTTGATCTGTTTCACCTTTACTTAACAGCCATGTTAAGTATTGTAAAGCCATGTACTTTATTGGATTATGTACGAGAAAGCATGAAGATAAAAAGGTTTGTCAAAAGCACACAAATGCAAGGGATGGTGAATGGTACTGCTAAAGGCAGGATTACAGTAAAGCCAAACTTCTTTTAAATAAGAAGTTGCAAGCTCATCAAATACTGCCCGAAAGCCTTTTGGAAAACAGCCAAAGTGAACTACAAAAAATTCTAATCAGAATTCCTGGCAGTGTACTGCTGGCATATTTTAAAATATATGCAAATTTCAGCCTCTTTTGATTTTAAACTTTTTTTTTTTAAGTACTACTGGGGATTGAACCCAGGGCCTTCACACTGAGCTACATCCCCAGCCCTTCTTTATTCTAAAACAGGATCTCGATAAATTGCCCAGGCTGGGTTGGAACTTGGAAATCCTCCTGCTTTGGCCTCCCAGAGTGCTGACAGGTACAGACCATGGTGCCTAGCTCTAAATTCAAAGTTTAAAGAACACTAATGTCCTGGTAGGAGAAACAGAAATTTACTTACATATTCATTAAAAATGGGTGTGTAGGTGAGTTTATTCTCCTCTGTGTCTTCAAACTCCTGGTAGTACTTGTCCATGAAATTCCTCTGTAGTAACTGGAACTCATCATCTGAACACAACAGGGAAAATACATTCTTTTTAATGGAGGCTAAAAGCCATCCTGATGCACGAGAAGACAAGGGGGCTGTTTTTTCGGCAGGCCGTCTAAGATAGGAAGAGCTAGTATTCTGAGGTTAAAAGGGACTCTGATGTTGAAACAGACCAATCAGTCTTATTTATTTTTGTGGTACTGTGGCGCGAATCCAGGGTCTTTGCACTAAATTACATCCCCGGTACTTCTTTATTTTTGTACTTTGAGAAAGGGCCTTACAAAGTCACTAAATTGCCCAGGCTGGGCTGGAACCTGTGATCCTCTTGCCTCAGCCTCTCTGAGTGCTGAGATTATAGGCATGCACCACTATGCCCAGCTCATTTCCATCATTTTAAAGTGTACAGTTTGGTATACTTAAGTATGTTCACATTTCTGTGCAACAGTGACCCCCACCCCTTACTACAGTTCATTTCAAACACCTCTATACAGGCTGGCCTGGGAACTCCTCGCACTCTTGGTAAAGGAACAACGTGGTTCTCTCTCTTAGAAATCGTATGTTTACTGTGTATACAAAGGGTCAGTTCTCAAACTGGGGAGCCTTCAAACCAAATGGCAAAATGCCTTCTCCTTCCTCCTTTAATTTTCACAGCAGTGTTGAAAATAGTGTAGGGATTAAAAGTGTAGGGGCTGACAAAGGCCAGATTGCCTAAATCCAAACTCCACCTCAACCAGCTGTGTTGACCGTGGACAAATTGTTACACTTCTCTAACCGCCCCCCTCCGGCCCTTTTTGGTCTTTTTGAGACAGGGTCTCGCTATGCAGTTCAGACTGGCCTTGAGCTCACTTTGTAGCCCAGGCTGGTCTCAAACTCGAAATGATCCTCCTGACTCAGCTTCCCGAGTGCTGAGATTATAGGCATGTGCCACCACACCTGGCTAATTTTTTCATCTGGAACACAAAAATGATTATACTATCTGTCATAAGGTGGAATTTAGGTATGATCCATTAATGTTAGGGAATAGGCAATTTTAACAACTGCACAGAGTATTATTTCTGAAAATAAAAGGAAAACTTCAAAAAAGGGCCTAGACTTTGGGAAAAATGCCCTGGGTTTACAGAAGGCTCATTTCTCCACAGAAGACAGATCCTCATAATGGACAAAATAACCAAAGAGATTCCTCAGTATTCCCCAGAAGTCCTCGAGTCCACATAAGAGAGCTTAGTGACGGTGTCTATACTTAGGTGTTAATAGCATGAATCTTAGGCAGTGTCTGTACTTAGGTGTTAAGAGCATGAATCTATAGGTCCTGAAGGTTCAAAAACTTTGTCAGTGATTTTCAGACTAAACTGGATTAATCTGTACAGTGAGTAACCAACTGTCTTTTCCTAATTCTCAGAAAACTTCAGTCAATAGACAAAATTTTCATTTTTCTCTCTACATATTTGTCTTAAAACTTTTGAGCATGTTACTTAGCAGGATTTACAGATGCCAAAATGAATCCACAAGTCAGGTGTGACAGCATATGCCTGTAATCCCAACACCTGGGAGGCTGAGGCAGGGGGACCATCTGGGCTACATAGTGAGTTCGAGGCCAGCCTGAACTATGCAGGAAGACCCTGTCTCAGAAAAAACAAAACAAAACAAAACAAAAGGATCCACAAGCCGGGCGTGGTGGCGCATGTCTGTAATCCCAGCGCTCGGGAGGCAGAGGCAGGAGGATTATTGCAAGTTCGAAGCCAGCCTGGGCTACAAAGTAAGCTCAAGGCCAGCCTGAACTGCATGGTAAGACCTGGTCTCAAAAAATCCAAAAAAAAAAAAAAAAAGGATCCACAAATAGGAACTCAAAACTTAGGAAAAGAGATCCAAGTAAAGTTTGGTATCTTTTTTTCTTCATGGATATGTGTGCATATGGCTTCAGGTTCTGTTCCATGGCATAAAAATGTTAAAACACACATCTATTTAAAATCTTCTGAGTGTGGTGGCACATCCTATAGTCACCAGCACTGGGAAAGCTGTCACTTTGGGCTACACAGGGAATTCAAAGCCTGCCTGGACTGTATGGTGAGACTACTCAACAACAACAACAAAAGAAAAGAAAAACACTGTCAAAAAACCAAAATCACTCTTACCCCATATGTGAAATAAAGTTGGTATTTCATGGAGCTTTGACAAGAGCTCCACATTCTAGGTGTGTATTGTGGAGTAGGTCCCTCAGGCTCCCCAAATCTAGTGATTAATTGTTTTAAGCATTACGGGGCTGTTTCTTTGACAAATGTCAGTAAGGTTTACTTACTGTACATTTAACTTGGTATTTTTATAAAGTAACCCGTCAAGTTGATTTCATTGTTCTTAAAAACAAGGGTCTAAGATGTAAAGAGAGCAGGGATCAGGTTGTGGCATGGCAGCTTACCCATGATAATGTCCTCTAAATATCCCACCACAGCATCAAATTCTGCTTCAGAGGCAGAGGAGCTGAAAAATATGCCAGGATTAGGTGTTGGTTCAAGTAACAGTTAATTTTTTTAAAAAAATTATGGTTACTTTCCAACATGCACAAGGAAAAAAACAATAGCAAGATGAACTGTCCGTTGACCAACTGTGACCTGCAAGTTAAATGTAATGATTCCACGTCAACAAAGCCTGACAGTGAATTACAAAACAGACACATAAGGAGAGCTGAAGCAGGCGTGGGTCATCTCCGGGATCCTCCGCAGTTATTTCTCGTGGGAGCTACTCCCTGCGTGGTGGCCATCGCGCCAGCCCCATCTGCTGGTCAGCGCGAACCTGGAGGGGCGAGCACCCGCCCAGACGGTATTTCATCAGGAATCGCTCCCGGAAGGGGGTGGCAGGGGTGGAGGGTCCTCTGACCCAGGCCTCCTGGATCAAATCCTCCTGATTTTGCTGACGACTAAGGTTCAGGCAGGAGGACAGGGACAGAGGTGCTGATACACTGGTGACCCCCGCCCCGAAATTCTGTCTCCCGGGACCTGAACCTGGTGATCTGCGGCCTGAAAAGCAGCAGAATGGAGACCGGAACTGGAGTGGAGCCTTGGCTGTCGTCCAGCGCGTCCCCTACCGCCCAGCACACCCGCTTTCCAGGGCAGCGGTCGAGCGCCTGCCGTCACTCACAAGGACAGCGCCAAGTTCTCCTCCTCCAGGGCGTCCATCGTCGCGGAGCCGCATCTACCTGCGCGGATGCGCGGGCTCCTCGGGCTCTTACCACGCCCACGGCCTGGGCCCGGTCTCGGGTCTACCTCGCGGAGCCCGCACCCGCATTGAGGGCACGGCGGCCGGCCGGCGTGGGGAGGCCTAGCCGCCCAGCCAGCGCAGCACCTTTGTACGAGGCCGGGCTCGGGCGCCCTCGCCCCGCCAGGCCGCTCCGCGCGCCGCTGCAGCCACGGGTCCAGAAGTCGTTACAGACCTCCGCGCGCTGTGCCCGCCTCCATCACCATGGTTACCACACTTTCTCCGGTGCAGGTTCTCAGCAACCAATCACAGACGGGCGTTCCCGACGTCGGGGGCGGGTAACGCAGGGAGCGGATTTCCGGGGTAGGGAAAGTCGGAGAGAGATGCTGGGCCTCAGTAAATCTGTTGTGGACTGGCGAAGGTGTCCAGAGGTGTGTAGTGACCAGATCTCACGTTGTTCTCATTTTATGGATGAAGGAATCGAAGGAGCCTGTTTCCTGACCTACAACTTGGTGATTAGTTAAACGTCGCAGTGTTTGTGAAGATTTACATAGTGGAAAACAGGTTTTAACAGCATTGTAAATTGACAACTCTCTTGAAAACCAGTCTCCCCTCTTGAAACAGGTAATATAGATGCCTGACTTGCGAGAAAGTTACACGCCCATATATCCCCTGATAGAGACTTCCCCACCGTATGAATTGGCAGTCGTACAATTTACATCCTAATCCTCGTATCAGGATTAGGCAGTAAATGGCTTCTCGGCTATTTATGCAAGACAAAGGTTGACAGAACCAGTTTGAGCAACACAGTCACAAATCCTAAACTGCTCCAGGAAAAGTCTCTTCCATGAGGATTTACTGGAGCTGATTTCTGTTGATTGGGCCACTAAGCATTTTGTCTCTTTGGTTGCATGATACCCTTTGCTCAGATGTGTGGTATTTGACTAGCGGGATTTACAGTATAAACTGAAGATCCGATGGCCCAGCTGAATGAATTAGCAGACATCTCTGAATGGAGATAAAGTAGGTATCTATAGGATCTGGAACTAAAGATGGTTACAAAGACAGTTGTATTGAATACATCAATTCTCAGAGTACTCTTTAGCACAAGGTGGAAGACAGGCATCTAAAAGGCTTTGCTGAGCTGGGCCGGGTGGCACTGGGGTAGTGATATAGGAGACAGGGAATCAATCCCAAAGCTGACTGGAAAAATAAGCAGGACCTACAAATTACAAGCTCCCTGGGCAACCAGGTAACTCTAGGAATGTCTCCTGAGCTCTCACGAGATCTGGAAGGTATAAACGAGACACCACAAGAAGCTTGCTTCACCTCCCAGGATACCCCGTCCTGGGTCTCCCAGATAACCACCAGGTAACAGTAGGAGGATGGCAAGTTTGAGCCCAGCCTGGGCAATTTAGCAATTTAGTGAGACCCCCATCTCAATAAAAAATGGGCTGGGGATGTAGCTCAGAGCAAAGGATCTCAGTTGAATCCCCAGTTCCACTAAAAAACAGACAAAAACAAAAAACACTTTGCTGAATTACTGAATTCTTTTCTACCAAGTACTGTTAGATAGCTCATAGCAAGCTCAGCAAAGGTCTTCATGACCTACTTTCTGTACATACTGCACCTATTTCTGGACTAAGTTAATTTGATCACCTTGCTAAATCATGGGGTCAGAGTGGAGGAACAACAAAATTTGATTTCATCTGTTCTGGTATCTACTGCTGTTACAAGCCACCTGAAAACTTAGTGGCTTAAAACAAGTTATTTTGCTCACTTAATCTGCTATTTGGGCAGGGCTTGGCAGGGACAGTTAATCTCTCTTCCACTTGTCAGCTGGGGCTTCTAAGGAGCTCACTCACGTTAGTGTTGGCTCTTGCCTGGCGTTTCAGTTGTGGGTGTTGGCTCTTGCCTGGCGTTTCAGTTGTGGATGTTGGCCCGAGGACTTGGGGCAGGGGTTGTCTTTTTTCTCTCCATGTAAGTCTTCCTAAGGATGACTGGGTTTTCCTACTCCATGGTGGTTGGGGCTAAGAGCAAGTACTATATTTCAAGAGATAGAAAGTGAAAGCTACCTGGCACTTAATGACCTTAGACTGTGCTTGAAACTGGTACAGTATTATTTTCACTGTGTTCTACTGGTCAGACAGGTACAGAGAACCCAGATTTAAGGGAAGAGGACATAAACTCCATTTTTAGAAAAATGTATGTATGTGGGGGTTGAACCCAGGGCCTTGTGCATGCTTCATAAGCACTCAACCACTGAGCTACAACCCCAGCCTCTAATTCTTTTTTTAATCTTTTGGTACTGGGAATCAAACCCATGGCCTTTGCAGGACCCTAGCCCTTTTCAGCTTTTTTTTTTTTTCCTTCCTCTTCATTTTCCTTTCCTTCCCTTCCCCTTTGGAGACAGGGTCCCACTACGTAGTGCAGGCTGGTCTTGAACTATGTAGCCTAGGCTGGTCTTGGACTTGCAGCTATCATCC